ACAAATAAATATGTATGAATGTGTATAATAATATATGTATGTATATTGCAACGGCAACAGGCTGCATTGAGATATGTACCTTCACTTTTAACAGGGGTTATGATGAGGACATCACAGAGGAACAGCATGTCTTTTCTCATACCCCCCCACCCCCCCAATAAAAACTGACCCCTCCCTCATAGAAGACGCTCAGTCCAACACTGTTGCTAGGCAGCATTCGTCAGTTGCTAGGAGATGCTGATGGCAGACAGAAAGAGACAGAGGAGTCCTGCAGGTTTAACTGGATAATTAAGTGTGACATTTGAGCAAAAGACAGGTCATTTGAGAAGAATTTGGAAATGTAAGTATATTCTGTATAAAAAGTAGAGCAGAGATGATTTTTTTTGTTAAAGAAATTAGCATCGCAAAGGGTTTCCACGACAGAAAGCCAATGGGATTTCTACATGTGATTTTGGATTATGTTCTGCAATAATCTCCGTGGCAAACAAACATTTATGTTTGCACAAGTCGTGGCTGTGCCTGTTGCTTCAGGATAATTCAGGATCATCTCCACACATTAACGCCACTTTCTTGAAGTAAAAAGCTAGATACGATTATAATATTTCATGTGTACAAGTTGTTGTTGTTGTTGTTACCTGACAGAGAGGCTAGAGGATGGGTTATCAAATTCTAAAATTTAGAATAAACATGCGGATGCATTTTTTACTGAGGTATGTTTATTTATTTATTTTTTTAACAGCTGTCCCGAACATCATGTTTGATATCAATCCACCTGGAGTCCTTGAAAGCTCTGTATTACATTCTGCAACTTAAACTGAATTAAAGGAAGTATAATTGTGTGATTGAAGTCTAAAGACAGAGAGAGAGTTAGGCAGTGATTGAAATCCCTGCTGTTCCACTGGGAAACCCTCTGTAATTAAACTCAGAGTGACAGACAGACAGAAATGAACATCCACACAGCGCCACCGCCACCTACTGGACGCATGGTGTAAGTGCAGACCCTCTACATTTGCATGGGTTCCTTTATCTATTATTTTCAGCACTTATATTAAATAAAATACATAAAACCTTTAGATTATATATTTTAGGATTCAATAAACATATGTTTTTAACTGCAGCTCATGCACAATTATTATTATTATTATTTTCATTATTTTCATTGAGTGTTTTTTGAGTGTAGTTCCACCATCCCGAGAAGAGAGATCCAGAGAATGAAAAATACAAATAGATCAAAAATAATAACAATAATAATGAAAAATAATAATAATAATAATTATAAATAAGAATCAAAATTACAAATAAAACTTCTAATTACAAAATAATTAATCATATTAATAGTGAATTACCCAAAAAATATGATTTTGATCAAATATCTATATTTTTTTGACTCCGCACACTTTTTTATATCTAATAAAATCAAATTGATGTTGTGTTTCTACCTGTGTGTGTGTGTGTGTGTGTGTGTGTGTGTGTGTGTGTGTGTGTGTGTGTGTGTGTGTGTGTGTGTGTGTGTGTGTGTGTGTGTGTGTTCAGCTCCAGCAGGCTCCAGTGAGAATGAGGAGCGTGTCTTCAGGCAGCGTCTCGGCCCCAGGAAGCGCCAGGGTGCCGTCAGGAGGAGAGTCCACCAGGTCAACGGACACAAGTTCATGGCAACGTTCCTCAGACAGCCCACCTACTGTTCTCACTGCAGGGACTTCATCTGGTACACACACACACACGCACGCACACACACACACACACACACACGCACACGCACAGGCACAGGCACACGCACACACACACAGGGTTTTTGCAGAAACATGTTCTCTGGTTTCCGTCTGTCTTGTTGTATTTAAACAACATTTTATTTTATGGGTAAGGTTTGCACTATCCATGAAAATTGTCAAAATTACAATTTGGATAAGTGTAAAATTACATTCCAAGGAAGCACAATTATGTTAATGATGTGTTAAAATGTATATTGTATGAAGTAGAGTAGATATCCCGACCTACAAATATTATTCTGCAGACTGAATAAGCTTCTACTAATTTTGTTTTCTTGTTTTTGTGCACCTTGTCTGTATTCATATTGAATTGATTTAGTGGAATAAAACCCCCCCAAAACCTAAATTGTTTCATACAGATCCTCACTGCAGATCTGACAAAGTTACCAGAACTCAAAAAAATAAAACCTCCTATTACTTTAGTTCATTCACTTAAAAGTACAATAATTTCAGATCTTAATATTATCTATTAACCGCTAACAATCCACCTTTCTTCAAGTATTTGTGCTGCTTTGCTTTGAGCCGTTAACAATATGTTAGGTCATTGTTTTATGTGATTCATGCTGAGTTTATTCTCTGTTTGACTTTTAGGGGCGTCTTAGGAAAACAGGGCTACCAGTGTCAAGGTAAGATGGAGTTTTATATTCCATATTTTCGACTGAAGACACTTAAAAGATACACAACTGCACTTAAACATGTGTTACTTAAATCCATGTGTGTGTGTTTCTCTTGCAGTTTGCACCTGTGTGGTCCATAAACGCTGCCATGAACTGATCATCACTAAGTGTGCAGGGATGAAGAAGCAGGAGGACACAGTGGAGGAGGTACTCTTTAAAGTAGAGACACTACATACTGATATACACCTGAACATCAGCAGGAGAGGACTCTTTAAAGTAGAGACACTACATGCTGATATACACCTGAACATCAGCAGGAGAGGACTCTTTAAAGTAGAGACACTACATACTGATATACACCTGAACATCAGCAGGAGAGGACTCTTTAAAGTAGAGACACTACATACTGATATACACCTGAAGATCAGCAGGAGAGGACTCTTTAAAGTAGAGACACTACATACTGATATACACCTGAACATCAGCAGGAGAGGACTCTTTAAAGTAGAGACACTACATACTGATATACACCTGAACATCAGCAGGAGAGGACTCTTTAAAGTAGAGACACTACATACTGATATACACCTGAACATCAGCAGGAGAGGACTCTTTAAAGTAGAGACACTACATACTGATATACACCTGAACATCAGCAGGAGAGGACTCTTTAAAGTAGAGACACTACATACTGATATACACCTGAACATCAGCAGGAGAGGACTCTTTAAAGTAGAGACACTACATACTGATATACACCTGAACATCAGCAGGAGAGGACTCTTTAAAGTAGAGACACTACATACTGATATACACCTGAACATCAGCAGGAGAGGACTCTTTAAAGTAGAGACACTACATACTGATATACACCTGGACATCAGCAGGAGAGGACTCTTTAAAGTAGAGACACTACATACTGATATACACCTGAACATCAGCAGGAGAGGACTCTTTAAAGTAGAGACACTGATATACACCTGAACATCAGCAGGATAGGACTCTTTAAAGGGGACCTATCATGCAAAATGCACTTTTGTACGTCTTGTATACATGAATATGTGTCCCCGGTGTTCCAGGGAACTCACCAAGTGTCAGAAAACACAACCCTCTCTATTTTCCTCCATACCCAAATCTCTATAAAAGGGGCTGCAACGGATCTGATAAAAACTGATCCAGATTTGAACACTGTCCTGACGTCAGGACGGTGGTGCTACGGCTATTGGGCCAACTCCACCAATCAGGAGGAGACAGCCACGGCCATTGCCGTTCGAAAGCGCTGGAGACGCTGTAGTACATATGCCAGGCCTGTAGGTGGTGCTGTTCTCACTGAATCAGCCCTTGCAAAAACAGAGCTAAAAAATGTCAAATTGAGCAAAATGAGGCATGGCTAAAATGCATGATCTGTTTGGTATTTTGAAAAAAAAAAAGTATAAATATGCCTTATATAGGTATGGCCCTACACTATATTATTCAAATATAGCATGATAGGTCCACTTTAAAGTAGAGACACCACATACTGATATACGTGTGTCACATGTCTTCTGTCCGTCTCTCAGCCCGTTGGTTCTCAGAGGTTCAGCGTCAACGTTCCACACAAATTCAGGATCCACAACTTTAAAGTCCTGACGTTCTGCGATCACTGTGGTTCTCTGCTCTGGGGTCTGCTGAGGCAGGGGCTCCAGTGTAAAGGTAACAACAAACTGTGTGTCATCTATTCTACATGTTGTGAATGTTTTTAATATAAATACGATAATACTTTACTGTCTGATCAAGTCTGACATTTCTTCTTGCATCACAGCAAGGTTCAAGGTTCAAGGTTAGTTTATTTGTACAGCACATGTTAAGACACAGAGGAAATTCAAAGTGCTTCACATCGGCATTTAACACATAATAATTAAAAACAAAATAAACACACAAACAAAAACAAAAAAAGACAATTCATAAAAGCGTTAAAATAATGGTTGCAGCTAAAAGTGCAATGATAAGTAACGGTTAAAGGATCTCAGGATAGGCTGCAAGAAAGGGTTTTAACTTAATTTAAAGCAGCAGCTCCATTTGACATGACACAAGAGACATTTAACATAACATTACAATCAATGAAAGGACATATTTCTCAAGACCCTCTAACGTACATTTGACCTGGGTTTTAACTCAATGTAACTTAATTTAAATAAAGACACCTTTTACCATACCTGTTGTGAAGACCTGGACCTAAGAAGTTTTATTGAAAGTAATAAGAATAATAATAAATTTTATTCAACAACACTTTAAAAACAACGTCATCTCAAGGTGCTTCACAAATCTATGAGGAGAATAGAGAGTAAAACAAAAAGTTATCTAAGGAACATATTGAGGGTCTTACCGTGTGTGTGTGTGTGTGTGTGTGTGTGTGTGTGTGTGTGTGTGTGTCAGTGTGTAAAGTGAACGTGCACAGGCGCTGTGAGAGTAACGTTGCCCCTAACTGTGGAGTCGACGCCAAAGCAATCGCTAAAGTCCTCTCTGACCTCGGAGTGACGCCGGACAAAATCTGCAACAGCGCTCTGAGGCGGAAAAAGGTACAAACATCTCATATTTATATAAAATAAAATAAATATACTGGCGTTTAAAAAGTCCATACTCCACAACCATCATAGATCAAACAAGATGAAATGAATGTATTATTATAACTAGGCCGATGCTGCATTTATGTGGTTCTTTATTTCTGAAGTTGTATTATATAATTGTATAAAATGTACTGGGTCCCCCCCCCCCCCCCCCCCCCCCCCTTACGGCAAATATCTGCTGTACAATGGAAGCTTGTTATTTAGGGGAACAACTCAAGCCCCCAGGAAGTGTGCCGGACTGTGATGAAAATATTCGTTGTGTCCAAACGGCGGTACTACAATTTCCGTATCAGTCTGTGACGTCACCCGGCCCAGACTTTTCCCCATTGACTAACATGGGGAAAGAGACGTCTGTAAATCGGTGGATAATTATTTTTTAAGTAAATAAACTACCCAGTATGAACTATTCTATAGCCCTTATTATAATCATTAAGTCCTTAAAGTTGTAAAATGCACTAAAAGCCGAATCTAGATTTATTTTCTGTCTCAGAAAATAAAACCCTCTCTCTTTTCCTCCGTACCCAAATCTCTAAAAACGGGGGAACAACGGAGCTGATCCAGATTTGCGTCCGATATGACGTAATATCTGAAATGTGGACCCACGGCCCAATCAGAAACGTTGCTATCAGAAACAATGCCCGACTGTTTTGGACGTAATATGGTCGGTGTTTACATTAGCATCGCTAACACTCAGAGCTAACCTGTACTGGAGAGCATGTGTGTGAAGAAGCAGGAAATAAAAAGGAACTCACCTTGTGGTATAACCGGCAAGAGAGAAAGCCTTTGAGCTCCATACTGTTTCAGAGAGAATCCTTGATAATCCATGATATGGCGTTTCATCACGGCAGTATTTAGTTTAGACAGTAGCTGCCGGGTCCCGCATGAGCTCAGACCCCTCATTTTAGATTATCAATTCTATTTTTAAAAAAAAGCTTTATACCCCAAATCATCACTTTTGAAACAGGAAGTGAAATAGAGGGATATGAGGCATGGCTAGAATGGGTGATCTGTTTGGTATTTTGAGCAAAACACTTCATCGACATGTTTTCTATGTATTTTCATATATCTGAGACCTATGCTATTGCCTAAAAACAGCATGATAGGTGACCTTTAACTTTTGTTCTTTCTTATGAAGCACTTTGTGAGTTTTATTTCTGTGAAAGGTGCTATACTAAATAAACGTATTATTATTATTATTATTATTACATAATTATTATTATAATGAGTGTGTGTGTTTCTGAAGCTGCTGCAGAGTCAGGAGTCCCGACCTCAGATATCCGGGACGACAGAGACTGAAGACGATCGTTCGAGGTCGGCTCCAACCTCCCCATGTGACCCGGGTAGATAATACTCTCCATCACACACATCTCACACACATCTCACACACATCTCACACATCTCACACACATCTCACACATCTCACACACACATCTCACACACATCTCACACACATCTACACACATCTCACACACATCTCTCAAACATCTCACACATCTCACACACATCTACACACATCTCACACACATCTCTCAAACATCTCACACATCACACACACATCTCACACAGATCTCACACACATCTACACACATCTACACACATCTCACACAGATCTCACACACATACTGTATACACACATCTCACACAGATCTCACACACATCTCACACACATCTCACACACATCTACACACATCTCACACACATCTCACACACATCTCATACACATCTCACACACATCTCACACACATCTTACACACATCTACACACATCTCACACGCATCTCACACACATCTCACACAGATCTCACACACATCTCACACACATCTCACACACATCTACACACATCTCACACACATCTCACACACATCTCATACACATCTCACACACATCTCACACACATCTTACACACATCTACACACATCTCACACGCATCTCACACACATCTCACACACATCTACATACATCTACACACATCTCACACACACATCTACACACATCTCACACACATCTACACACATCTCACACACATCTACACACATCTCACACACATCTACAAACATCTCACACACATCTACACACATCTACACACATCTACACACATCTACACACATCTCACACACATCTACACACATCTCACACACATCTACACACATCTACACACATCTCACACACATCTACACACATCTACACACATCTACACACATCTCACACAGATCTCACACACATACTGTATACACACATCTCACACACATCTCACACACATCTCACACACATCTCACACACATTTCACACACATCTCACACATCTCACACACATCTCACACACACACATCTCACACACATCTCACACACATCTCACACACATCTCACACACATCTCACACACATCTCACACACACACATCTCACACACATCTCACACCATCTCACACTACCATCTCACACTACCATCTCACACTACCATCTCACACTACCATCTCACACACATCTCACACACACATCGCACACACATCTCACACACATCTCACACAGATCTCACACACATCTCACACAGATCTCACACACATCTACACACATCTACACACATCTCACACACATCTACACACATCTACACACATCTACACACATCTCACACAGATCTCACACACAACTCACACACATCTCACACACATCTCACACAGATCTCACACACATCTACACACATCTACACACATCTCACACAGATCTCACACACCTCACACACCTCCCACACACCTCACACACATCTACACACCTCTCACACACACCTCACACACATCTCACACATCTCACACACCTCACACACCTCACACACATCTCACACACCTCACACACATCTCACACACCTCACACACATCTACACACATACTACCCCCTATATGATTGTTTACGTTCCTCTGCCCTACAGGCATGTTTTCATTGTTTGTCTGTTTTCCTTTGTGCACGTTGACAGGATTTTACTCCAAAATCTCATTGTATTTTTTTATATAATGACAATAAAGGCTTTCAATTCTCTTCTGACGGAGCCTGGGATTCATATTTGCACTGTAGCTTCTGTGCAAATGACAATAAAGACCTTCGAATAATTGAATCACTGAACTGAATGACACCTAAAACTAAATACACCAGCATTAACTGTACACTGTGTTGTCTCTGTGCAGATGTGAAGGAGCTGGAGAACATCCGGAAAGCTCTTTCCTTCGATCACAGGGGGGAAGAACATAAGAAACACTCCCTCTCCTCCCCCCAATCTGTGGACACGGTGACGGAGGGGAGTCATGGAGGAGCCGGAGGAGAACGGGAGAACGGAGACCTCAAACGTCATGTTCCGGAAATGAAACGGCTGAATTTGCACGACTTCCTGTTCATCAAAGTCCTCGGGAAGGGAAGCTTCGGGAAGGTGAGAGAGGGATTACATTTCTGTCTGTTATCACTCTATCATTCCTCTTCTACTATGACCTGCTCTATGAGAGAGAGGTGGGGGGGGTGCTAACATGCATATGGATCAGAGGAAATCACCATCATCTGTTGAGTCTTGAGTGAAAGAGAGAGGGAACATCCCAAGTCTCTTTCTGACATTTCCTTTGCTTTAACTGGAAGTTCACTAGTAAGGACGTGCTTCCAGTCGATCTGAAGACAAGCCCTCAAGATGGTACCTAGTGAAAGAAGAGTATGCTGGAAATAAAATAGAAAGAGAAAAGGGGAGACCAGAAGAGGGGATGAAAAGATAAAGGGTCGAAAGGATGAAGGGAAGGAGGGATGAAGGGAATGAGGGGAGGGATGAAGGGAAGGAGGGATGAAGGGAAGAATGTGTTAAGGGAAGGAGGGATGAAGGGAAGGAAGAATAAAGGGAAGTAGGGATGAAGGGCTGAAGGGAAGGAGGGATGAAGGGCAGGAGGGCTGAAGGGAAGAATGTGTTAAGGGAAGGAGGGATGAAGGGAAGGAGGGATGAAGGGAAGGAGGTGTTAAGGGAAGGAGGGATGAAGGGAAGGAGGGATGAAGGGCAGGAGGGCTGAAGGGAAGGAGGGATGAAGGGCAGGAGGGATGAAGGGAAGAATGTGTTAAAGGAAGGAGGGATGAAGGGAAGGAGGGATGAAGGGCAGAAGGGAAAAAAGGAAGGAGTTAGTGAGGACCTAACTTCCTTTGTTTTGGTAAAACATTTGGAAAACGGTCCCAAAGCTTTTTTTTTGTCGTTGGAGAAACGAAGATTGATCCCCATGGAGCAACGAACCACAAACACACCCTTTTGGAAAATCTTTTCCTAGCCTAAAGGAGCCCTTATCAGTCATATTATCAGATGTTGATTGGACACTGCGGATGATCAGCTGATACAATATCTGCAGTTTATCTTGGTGTGAAGACAGATAACAGATTAAACTCAAATGAATCACCCGTCATCTGATACTGTTCTCTTCATTAAATGACTGATCATCCTGTTAAAATATCTGATGATACTCTCAGGCTGGAGCCACACGGAGACGATAAGGAAAACAAACCGAATTCGATATCAAAAAAGTCTTCAGTCAGTGGTCAGCATGGTCTGACCATGCTACAGCAGTGAGCAGCAGAGGTGGGGCTATTGCGTCATCGTTATCAGGAAATGATCGTATAGGGCGTCGACACGGAGCCGTTTGGCCCCCCAGAGCGTTGCGTCCGCAGATCTATCCACCTTGGGACCCGTTATCGTTATCTGCGTTTCCCTGTCGGCCTTGTGTGGCCGAACCGTATAAGATAGAGAACTGTAGCGGATACGACCCGTTTCGTCTCCGTGTGGCTGCAGCCTCAGATGTAATGTTTGTGACCAGCGTGCGTATGTGTGTGTGTTCAGGTGATGCTGGCGGAGCTGAAAGGCAGCGATGAGGTCTACGCGGTGAAGGTCTTGAAGAAAGACGTGATCCTGCAGGACGACGACGTGGACTGCACTCTGACGGAGAAACGCATCCTGGCCCTCGCTCGGAAACACCCGTGCCTCACCCAGCTGTTCTGCTGCTTCCAGACCAAGGTACACACACACATCACTTCATTACATTACATTGACTTACATGCATTTCCTGGAGACTTATCCTAACAAACACATGCCTAACCCTTACCCATTACATTACATGTCACTTGTATCCAAAGCGACTTACATACTCAATACTGTGGACAATCCCCACAGGAGCACTTTGGGGTGAAGTGTCTCAGGGACACAACGACATGCTGACTGCAGTGGGGTTTGAACCTGTGACCCCCTGATCCGAACAGCAATGCACTAGTCCACTGCGCCACACGCCTTACCCTTACCCTAACCCTAACCAAGTTAACCACCCTAAAATTAATGATTCTCCTCATGGGGACCTCCAATGTGTCCCCATGAGGGAGGCGAGTCCCCACACGTGACTGTAATGCTAGGCCACACACACACACACACACACACACACACACACACACACACACACACACACACACACACACACACACACACCACCAGAGGGCACCATCGGACCTTTAAAGCCTCCATTGATGATGTATTTATAATTTAAAAGTGTGTGTTCGGTACAATGATAAATATAAAGGGTCACCAGAGGATAAAAGTGATAACAGGGATTTCAAAATATGTAACACAAACGTTTCTTTTCCATCTTTATCCTCTGAAACACCTGAACATTAAACATCCTCAGGCCTCAAAAAACGTTAGTATATTAGAATAAGAAGAAAAACATCTCACACCTGATTCCACACTAAGATGTAGGACCGGTAGACTATACATCTAATTAAATCAAAAGGAAAATAAGTGTTTTTTAAGTTCTTGAGTAAATGTACTTTAAAGCTACTGTCCACCACTGCCCTTCAAATGTCAAATATGCCACAGTTAGAGGTCCATTTGATTCTCGTTTTTCGTCATAATAAATTATTACCCATCAATTAAATAGCTTTAGTTTTAGTTTTTGCATTTATAAAGGCAAAAGGAGTGAATCAGTAGAAACACTTTAGACAAAGTTTAGAAGTTGTGAACCATTTCTCCCAGTGACGTCAAAATCCCACTCTGAATGTTGGATTGCATTTATCTATCGTAAAAATACGCAACACGACGCGCAGTGAAAAAGTTACAGCAGATCTTCTGATTTTTCAAATCTCTAAAAACGGGGGAACAACGGAGCTGATCCAGATTTGCGTCCGATATGACGTAATATCTGAAATGTGGACCCACGGCCCTATCAGAAACATTGCTATCAGAAACAATGCCCGACTGTTTTGGACGTAATATGGTCGGTGTTTACATTAGCATCGCTAACACTCAGAGCTAACCTGTACTGGAGAGCATGTGTGTGAAGAAGCAGGAAATAAAAAGGAACTCACCTTGTGGTATAACCGGCAAGAGAGAAAGCCTTTGAGCTCCATACTGTTTCAGAAATAATCCTTGATAATCCATGATATGGCGTTTCATCACGGCAGTATTTAGTTTAGACAGTAGCTGCCGGGTCCCGCATGAGCTCAGCCCCCTCCTTTTAGATTTTGTATCAATTCTTTTTTTTTTAAGGCTTTATACCCAAATCAGCACTTTTGAAACAGGAAGTGAAATAGAGGGATATGAGGCATGGCTAGAATGGGTGATCTGTTTGGTATTTTGAGTAAAACACTTCATACTGTAGACATGTTTTTTATATATTGTTATATATCTGAGACCTATGCTATTGCCTAAAAATAGCATGATAGGTGACCTTTAATACATCTTTATATTTTCTAATTTGATTATATTTCTATTTTTGGTCCTTGTCTTACAATACCATTTATCTTATGTATGCATCACACACACCAAAGAAAAGTCCTCGCATTTCTGAACCTACTTTGCCTGTTTCTGATTACGATTAGAACTACTATATGAGATGCAATTACCAAATTATATTACTAGCTATAGCGGATAAATGGTCAACCATAATCAGATAAATAAAATATTAGGATTATTATATGTTAGATATGTTTGTATGTTGGGTTTTATAACTGTTCTTTGTTTGATACGGATTACTTCTAGCTGTGCAAGATACGATTTAAGAGCTAAAGACTTCTCTAAAATGTTCAAACGTTATTGTTGCCTCCATTACTCCTCTCAAAGGTAACCCTCAAAGTCTTGTTTTGTTCACACCTGTGCAGCGCTCAGCACATCGTGTACCTGCTGCTTCAGAAACTCATCAAACTGGAAACTGGACACAGCTGTGCAGTAGTGTACTGACACACACACACACACACGCACACGCACACGCACACACACAAGCACACGCACACACACAGACACACAGACACGCACATACACACGCACACGCACACGCACACACACACACACACACACACACACACACACACACACACACACACAGACACACACATACACACACACACATACACACATACACACGCACACGCACACACGCACACGCACACACACACACACACACACACAGACACACACACGCACGCACGCACACACACACACACACACACACACACACACACACACACACAGACACACACGCACACGCGCACACGCACACGCGCACACGCACACGCACACGCACACACACGCACGCACGCACGCACACACACACACACACACACACACACACACACACACACACACACACACACACACACACGCCGCAGGAACACTTATGTAACGTACGATAGACAAAACAAGAAGCGCCCGAGGAGCTGCTGGGCGTTTAAAGCTCCTCTTTGTGTGGCGGTCTGTCATCGTCCTCTTAATGTACGGAGGGACAAATTAGCCGAGGAGGGGAGATTAGTGTGAATGAAGAGAAGGGAAATAAAGCTCAAGGCCTTCAGAGTTAAGGCCCAGATACACCAGGCCGAAATCGTCCGTCTTCGGTTGTCTGACGACGAAGCGTGCCCTGTCGCCCAAAGTCAATTTGGTGTGTCCCGAACCCTCGGCCGTGACACGCCTTATTTGGCCTTTCACGGTCGACACATGGCCGATTCAACATGTTGAATCGGCCGGGTGTCGGACACAAGCTATCGGGCCAAGAAACCACTCTGATCAGCTGTTCAGCTAGCAAATGAGAAGCAAAACGGAAGTGAGGGACGTAAACAAACGATTTAAGAAGGCACAGGACAGCAGCTAAACCCCAGCAGGTGATACTTAAAGACATCAAACATAGCCCTTAAATGTCCTCTCTTACCTCCCACACATAGCAGGGACATCTCTGATATTGGCGGGAGCGTCCCCGGCTGTCCTCTGCTGAGAGCTCCGTGATTTGTTTGGTCAAGTCCGGTTTTTCATCTCATCGGTTTATTTGTCAGTATAAAGTTGCAGGATTAGTCTCAAGTACCTCAACATTGTCCTTAAGTACAGTGTCTAAGTAAATGAGATACTGTCTACTGCTGTTCATTTACCTATTGTGAGTCGCCTCGGAAAAAAGCATCACATGGAAATGTAAATTTAGCAAGAAGTGGCCATTATTACATTACATACATTACTATATTGCTGACTCAATAAACTACACACCCGCAAGAACACTGCGATCATCAGATGCAGGTCTATTAACTGTGATTTTATAGTATGTCTGCACTTTATGTGCTCATTTCATCATTCATGTATTTTTATATTCTACTAAAACTGAATCTAACCATAAACAAGGTGGCCTGTTGGGATATATATATATAATATATCTGCATTATTTTACTATAACCAATACTAATGCTAGGGCTGCAACTGACAGTTATGTAGGCACATTGTTATTGTTTCTTATCGCTGTGTGATTAAAAGAATAAACACAAATAGCAGGATAGGCAATGCAAAACCTTATTTCGTACCTTCATACACACATAACACAACATTAGAATGAGCTTTTATCAACGCCTACATGATGATAACCTGTCAACATGACAGGAAAATGAACAGGTCGTTTTGTTCGTTTTGTAGCTGATATTTCGACACTAAGACGGTGGACGAGAGTGAAAATGGAACGCACACGCTATTTGTTGTTTGTTTATATCACAGTCTGTTCTTCTTCTCTGTCTTCCGGTTGTTGCCTATTTTGAATAACGAATACACACTACCGCCGCCTGCTGGTAAGGAGAGTTATTGCCACTCACGCATGCGCAGTTCGTACGTGCTCGGCTGAAGTCTTTGCGGTGTGTTCCAGTGCGACACATGGCTAAGACGCAGGAGAACTCGTCGACGCAACAGTCGGCGTCGGTGTCGGCGAGTTCTCTGGTGACTGCCTGGTGTGTCAGGGCCTTTAGAGAACGCTCTCTGGAAACTGCTCCCAGTCTAAAAAAAACACGAATTACATCAATTAATCAACAGGTCCATTTCAAGAGAACCTACAGTATTCTGCTTCTGGAGGTTTTCCCTCTCCTGAAGTTATCTAGGTGTTAGTGCATGTGAATGGTCTGTAAAGGCTAAAATCCCAAAGTTCCAGACCAGGCTAAGGGGCGGGACATCTCTAAGCAGGTTGACCAATCACAACAGAGCCGGCCAGCTAACCAATCAGAGCAGACTGGGCTCTGGTTTCAGACAGAGGGTGAAAAGAGGTGCTGCAGCACAGGCAGTATGAGAAAGATAAAGAGCTTATACTGTAGTCCTCTTACTCTAACACGTGTTTAGTGGCATATTTGACATCTAAAGTGCAATTTAGTACAAGGTTAAGTTACTTCAGTATTTACATTTACTGCTTTCTACATCTACTTATCAACAACTGCACAATTGTTTTATGCATTACATTTGGACGTAACAACGTAACAGGCAGTATGAGAAAAATAAAGATCTTTCTGAACATTAATATCCTCTTTATCACAATGAGAAGTTTTGATTCGCTCTGAGAAGTGACTATAAATGAGTTCTCTCTTATTCTAATAACTGTTAAATGGAGTTGCATCACATTAAACTATAGTTCTGTTATTCTAACGAGTGGGTAGTGAAATCTCTCCATTGGGTAGGTAACAGTAAAGCAAACTAAAGAGACTTAAAACTCAGTATAAGTTATTGTGCTCATTCAGAGTTGATGA